TTTTTTTTTTTTTTTTTTTTTTTTTTTTTTTTTTTTTTTTTTTTTTTTCTTCACTGAAATCCGATCCGATCATTCTTTAGTGATATAAGGATAACAATAATAATAATGATAGTGATAATAATAAGTAGTAATAGCGAATAATAGTGATAGTGGTAACAAACAATAGTAATAAATAACAATAAAAAGGTAACAATAATGAATGATAATAAGACTTATAAATAATAATATTAATAATAAATCAATACCAATAGCATGACGTAGTATAATCAGAAAAAGTGCTTTCAAACACAAAATTATTCAAGTTGTTTTTCTCAAAATTTAAGCTTATCTCAAACTTTTCCTAACGATTTAATCGTATCAGCAGAAGCTTATTTTTAAGAAAAATAAAACATGTTTCCCGAGACATATGCATATATAGATTAAATTATTTTAGTCCAGATTAAGCGAAAATGAATAATGACAAAAGAGAAAATTCGAATTTGTTTTACCAAATTTTCATTCAAATCAATCAATTCAATTAAAATACACTTTTTTTTTTTTGGAAAATGATAACAAACAAAAGTAAGAATAATTTGATTTCAGTAAAATGATCAAAAATTTTAATTTAATTAATGATACATTTATGTTCTCATATTTCTGTGAAGACAAAAATAAAATGTAATTGATTTTCTTGAACTTTGCAAAGACTGAAATTGATAAAATCTTAAATCAGAGTATAGAAATTATTGAACAAAATAAAATTAGAAAAATTCTGAATGAATATTTGTAGATGACAACTCTTGGTTATGGTGACATGGTACCAGCAACAATTATGGGTAAAGTTGTTGGCGGCGTTTGTTCTCTTAGTGGCGTTTTAGTAATTGCACTTCCAGTTCCAGTAAGTTTTAAATTTTTTTGCAATATTTCGATAACTATTAAATTGCATTTGGTTTATTATAATTGGAGTTTGTAATTTGCAGAATTATGCAACATCTTTTTTGCAGTACTTTTAAAATAAGAATTGATGATAGCATTGTTTATTATAGGTAATTGTTAGTAATTTCTCCAGAATATACCATCAGAATCAACGGGCTGACAAGAGGAGAGCTCAAAAGGTAAACAAAAACATAAACGAATGAATAAATAAAAAAATGTATAATCTGTTGCATTTGTTAATTTATATGAAATTTTTGAACAGTTTGAAATTTATCATATTAATTGGTTTGAAAAATTAATTAAATATTTCAGAAAGCTCGATTAGCTCGTATTCGAATAGTTAAAAATGCCAGTGGCAAAGCATTATCTAACAAGAAGAAAGCACACGAAGCAAGGATGCAAGCTTTCGAACAAGGCTTATTAAGTTTTGATTCACTGAAAGATGATGACATTTTTGAAATTCAACACCGACATTTATTGCAATGTTTGGAAAAAGCTACCGTAATTCATTTTCCTTCTAAAGAATTTTGATATAATTTTAAGGAATAATGATGTTTATGATAAAGTGATCAACTTGATGGCTGGCAATGTTAGTACTGTTGAGAAAAGGTGGTGTATGAGTCCAGATCAAATTGATGGATGCTTTGTTAGACTGAATAAGAGAATGCATCTTTTTCTCAGAGCATTTTAATTGATCAAAATTTAAAAAAAAAAAAAAAAAAATTTTCATTATTAAAGTTGATATCACTTTGTACTTCTTATCACATCTAAATTTGCATTCAAAAAAGAAATTTGATTTCAATAAAAAATTGAAAATATTTTTTGAAATAAACTTAAGACTTTCTTTCTTTTTCTCGGGATTTAAATGAGCAAAAGAATATTTGGAAAATATATGAGTATGTTTGTAATTTAAAACAATTTTACAGGAAAGAGAATTAACTGAAAGAGATAATACTGTGCTCAATGATAGCTTAAGAATAAGTCCAGCGATCAGTCCATCAACATCGCAGGGTTTACTGCCTCCAGAAAATAATTTATATTCACGATGGATCGATTGTTGCAATTCTTGTTTTAGTAGTAAGTTTAATTCAAATTGCACTTTTATCTGATAAGCTTATTCTAATAAATATTCAACAGATATTGTAATATCTAAACTATTTAATCTACCAATTCAAACCTTAGCAACCAAAAAAAAAAAAAAAAAAAAAAGAGAAAAGCAGAAATTTGAAGATAAATCAGAGTAAGATTTTACAAAAATGATTAAATAAGAAATTTACATTCCTTGAAAATATCTCGAAATTTCTTGCTACATTTTCCCAAAAGAACATCAATAGAAACTATCATCTAATCTTTCAGAAAAAACGTTTTTTTTTTTGCAAAATTAATTCTGAAGCAATTTATAGAAAATTGCATATAACTGCAGAAAATTCAGGGGAAACTAATTCAATCAATAGACCATTACCGAAAAGCAGCAAAGAAGCACCGTATCAACCTAGCAAAATTGATTACAAATGGCGATCTGCGGATGGACAACAAGCGCAAGAACAGCGACATCAAATGGATCAACGACGAAAATCGAAAATTAGCCATGAAGAAGATCGTCTTTGTAGTACGTCAACATTTTGAAAGAATATTGCAAACAGCATCTTCGTTATCACTGATTATTATCGATGGGAAATCAAGTGTACAAATAGACCAAATGTACGCTCAGACGATGATACAAAAAAAAAATTCTAATCTAAATACGGATGGACGAGTCCGTTAGACGGGTATGTTGATATGGTTAAGAGGACCAAACCGGAGTTTGAAACTTGTCACCTCATTTGATTGTTCTTGCCGACAAAATGAATCCCTCTCCATTTGTGAATTGGAAATTTCGTTTCTTTGATGAAAATAATTAAAAAATTATGTCTTCTGTATTGTTCTTGATTAACAGCAACATGGAACATGCAATAGCACCATGCCAAACAACTGTCCTCCATGAGGTTAAACTTCCCGTTCGGTAAATTTTAAAAGAAATTCATGAACAAACTTCCGGAACCTCTGCAATTCTTAAAATATATTTATCCTAGAAATTTTATTTATTACACACTCAATACTTTAAATCCTGCATCTTATCGTCACTTAAATGTACATCCTTTGATTATTGCTGAAGAAATTCTCGATTTTATTAGGGCTGCTAAATTTCTATCAATTTTTTGAAAATAATTGCGAAACAGCACTGATACAAAGATACAAGAATCATTATAGATTGATCGATATAGTTAAAAATATCCTGAACAAATCATGACACAAAAATAAAAGTATTGTAAATTAGTAAAAATAATCAAATAAATGAGCAAAAGAATTTTATTAATTGAGAAAAAAAAAAGAATTAAAAATATGGAATATAAATGAACGAGATGGTGCAAGTGCTGTGAAATTACATCAAAAAAAACAGAAGCAAAATATGAATACAGTAAAGTAAGTGAGTGAGTGTATTTAGAAATAAGATGGCTAAGAAATTGAGAAAGTACAAAATAAATGATGATATGTATATACAAGGAATCAGTAAATTTTTCACACCGATGAAATGCTTCACAAATGATACAACGGTAAAGAGATGATTCTGGAGAAGAGCTCCAATGATTCGTAAGTGTTAAGTGCTCGGAAGAATCGTAACTGTACTAATGGAATTCATAATGTCCAGTTCAAACAAACATTGGATCGTCAAACATCTTCTGGTATATGAATAGCATAAACGATGGTGCATTCGCTACCTCATCCGGATTCTCAAAGAATCCATGAAGCTATTAAGCGAAATTTTTAGTTTATCATCTTCAATTTAAAAAATTTAGATTAGGAAATCCGGTTTGGCTTGCAGCCAATAACTTTTAAGCTAAATAATATATAAAAACAGTGAAAGCAAATAAGTGAAGGAAAATAAAAGTCATCTTCTCCCAAAGTCAATAATAACTTTTAAACCTGTTTTTGGATAAACATTATTTATCCTAAAACAACGCAATCATCAAATATGTGCAAATATTCTAAGCAAAGTAATCAGCAATATATGTGATAAGGGGAGAAAGCGGATCGGAGGAGAAAGAAACCGCAAAGATTCAAATACCTTTTTTTTCTTTTGGTTCTATGATGACTGCGACAGCATAACATGCAACGAATAAAATCAAAAAAAAAAAAAAGAAAAAAAGGAAAAAAAATGGAAATAAAGTGAAGGAATCGGATCTGCAGAAAAAAGACATTAAAGGAATAATTGGTCATATAGAGAATAGCATCTAAAAATGCTTCAAAAATTGAATATGTGAATTGCCGGGAAGTTATTCTACCCGACAGTAAGTGAATACATATGTATAAAAAAGAAGTTAAGAGAAGTTAAAAAGACTTCAAGTTATCATAAAGATTCTATTTATTTTTTAACAGTAACTCTTGATTAAACCCAAAATTTTATCCATCACCATGGATACAGAAAAAATTTAGTCTTACAGAACATGTATAGAATAACGTCTAAAGGACTATATTTCAGGTCGATACCATCAAACAAGATAAAATTATGAAAAGTGAAATTTTCTGAAAAAAATAAAAAAAACAGTCGCTTAGCGACCAACTACAGAAAAATCAACTTGTCAAAAACATGTCTTTTGTTTCAAAAACATATGCTCTTCAGCTTCTCAAAAACAAGAAAAAAAAAAAGAGGGGAAAACAAGATCAGAAGCTCTCAGATTTACTTTTCCCAGTTTGGTTCGCCACTATATTTCCAATAGTGACTTTCAGTTATCAATAAACTGATATCCTTTACGACCCAAAACAGTTTTCAAATAATCAATTTTTTTGCGTTCTTCTTCTGGAGCTTCATTTTCACCAACCTGCAACGATTAATATTCTAACTACACGAGAATTATAAACCATGATAAAAAGATTAAAAATTTTAATAATCTAAGTTTTATTCATACTATCGTATTATCTTCTCCACTTTTGCAGTTCTAATAGTTGTTGCAACAAGCATGACTTCCAGAAATTTCACACTGTCAGTGATGAAACTTTGAATATGTACATTGCTCAACGCCATAAACTCACAAGGAAAACCGAACTTTCTAATTTTCTAGTACATATTCGGCGGTATGACACGACATTTGAAATGTCTATTGCTCTTTAAATTACAATATTTTTCAATAAATAATCAGTAATCTTGTGATTTCAACAAATTTATACCAAATTAAATGTATTATTAGCTTCTTCGTCAAGCACATCTTTTGGTTCGTTACTGGCCAATTTACAACGTAAACTTGGCTTTCCGAGTATAAGCGAAGCAAAGAATACATCGTGCGATCGGTCGTCTACTAGTAAATACTGCGCTATTCCAGCATCAAATACCTTAAATAAACAAGAAATCTTAAAAACAAACAAACAAACTCGCATTTATTTTCACGATTTTTACTTATGAATATGGGTCTTTGAATTATAAAGTCTTTTAAATAAAGAGAAAAAATATCACTTACTGACTGACAGGTTGATTAGCGCAATACTTACGGTAATGTCACCATCAAATTCCCATGCAGGATCCCAGTTCTTGACCAAATGAAGCACATTCTTGATCCTAATATCAGGGCAAGTTGGTTTCATAAGCCTAGTAGAAACATCTTTTTGATGTGCACCAAGGGGACGATACATCTATAATATTTAGTAATAAACATGTACAATTAACAAACAAAAAATACAAACCATAATATGACGAAAAATAACGATCACCTAGTAGAATAGTTAGCCAACGACGGCACTCCCTCCTAGTTATTTAGTGTGCAATATTTACTTCTATTAAATGCAATCTTTGTACAATACCAAAAAATTGCTCAAATATCTGAATCTTTGTACAATACCAAAAAATTGCTCAAATATCTGAATCATCATTTGTTTACTTCTATTCGCTAACGACTAAACAATCTCGAAATTTCTATCTCACAGATCATATAGAGGTTTGGGC